AATTTAATTAAATTTTTATTTTGTTAAGCATGACAAATAAATCTAATATTAATATTACACAAGCGGTTTAATTTTTTTTTTATATTGTTTATTTTATTATTTTATTTTAAATAGCATGATGAATAAGTCCAATATTAATATTTAAAAATTTGATTTCTTTTTAAAATTAACAAATTAATTAATTCATTAATTTTATGTATTGTGACAAAGTCGCAATACATAAAAAGAATTATATTCTAAAATAATATTAAAAAATATTTAATTAATTATGTATGTATGTATGTATGTATGCATTTATTTATTTATTTATTTATTTATTTATTTATTTATTTATTGTAGCATGACAAATACCTCCAATATTAATATTACAAGAATAGTTTTATTTCCTTTATTTATTTTTAATTTATTTTTTATGTATGTCACATAAGCCCAATATCAATATTACAAGTTATTTTATTTATTTATTTATATATTTAGTATGAAAAATAAGTCCAATACTAATATTAAAAGAGTTGTTTTATTTATTTATTTATTTATTTATTTATTTATTTATTTATTTATTGTAGCATGGCAAATACCTATCCCAAGAGTAGTTTATTTATTTATTTATTTAATGTAGCATGGCAAATAAGGTCAGTATTAATATTACAAGAATTGTTTTTATTTATTTATTTATTTATTTTACTGCATGTAGCATGACAAATAAGATTAATACTAGTATTACAAACATTGTTTTATTTATTTATTATAAAATAACTTTAATTTAATTTATTTTATTTTTTATTTAATTTATGCATGTCAAATAAGCCCAATATTAATAATACAAAAGTTATTTTATTTAATGAAGCATGAAAAATAAGTCCAATACTAATATTAAAGAGTTGTTTTATTTATTTATTTATTGTAGCATGGCAAATACGTCTTATATAAATATTACAAAAATTGTTTTTATTTATTTATTTACATTTTTTGTAATATGACAAATAAGTCCAATACTAATACTACAATAATTGTTTTATTTATTTATTTATTTATCTATGTATTGATCTATCTATTTATTTATTTATCTATCTATTTATTTGTTTATTTATTTATTTAATGTAGCTTGGCAAATTAATCCAATATTAATATAAAAAGAGTTGTTTTGTTTTGTTATGTTTTATTCCATTCAATATTGTTTAATGTAGCATGACTAATAAGTTTAATATTAATGTTACAAGATTTGTTTTATTTGATTGTATATTGTATAAAAGCAAAACTATCAATTTTAAAAAATATTGAGGGGACTGTTTTGCTGATTACTTTGTTGATAAATAATTCAGTGGAGAACTTTGGCCGTTGTTTATTCATGTATATTACGTTTTCTTAAAATCATGGTTCTTGTTTAAGTAAGGACCGTAACATAATCGGGGACTCATCCGGGATAACACCTACTATTTAGGACAGATCGTTTATATACAAAATGAGGACACATCAAGAGAATCATTAGAAGGATCTGAAAAAATAATGTTTGGTCTATTGCGTCTCACTTTCTCCCTTGGTTTCTAATTATAATATAGATTAATATTAATAAAATATTATATTTAAAAAAATCAGTTTTTACTAGATAATATTTTAACTTTTATCTTCAATCCTATTTTGAAAAAAAATAGTAATAAAATAATAATAGTTAACTTTTTAATATTGTTATTACCATAATTAACTACCTTATAGTTCATTGAAATATTACAAAATACCATTATTTTCATTTTATTGTTTATATATTTAAGATTGGGTATTCTTCAAGACAAAGATAACTGAGGTAAGAAACTCTGGTTATTTATAGTAACTAAGGAATCATCTGATTGGTGCATGCAGGACCAGCCAAGGTCAATCATAAGCACGTGATCCTCTCAAAGTTATTTTAGAAATAAACTTTACTAAGTGTGATCTTCTGGACTTTTAATAGTGATAATGTTCTGAATGTTCACTAATGAGAATGTTCACTCAACTTATTTTTCTTGCTTGTTCAAACTACTTAAATAAGCTGAAGCAGCACAATTTTTGAGAATTGTTTTGGGACAACTTTATTGTTTTATGTTCAATCCACTTAAATTTGTAGAAACAATCAGGTTAACTTAATCGATTTGGGTTGGGACAAACATGAATACAGTGTAGTAAGAATAGCAGGAATGGCCGGAATATTTACTAGTAAGTGTGTTCTACATGTTCCCTAGTAAGAATGTGTGTTCTGAATGTTCACTACTGAGAGCTGATGGGATTGCCGGAGGTCAGAGGTTGAGCTCAAGCTAAATAAACACACCAGTGCTGCGTCTCATTCTCTACAAAAACACCAATATCCGGAGTTTATTTATCCTCCTCGTATTCTTGTGGCATTGACGGCCCGCGAAGAACAACAACAAAAAAAAAGAGACAGGAACAGAGAGGAAACAGAAAAGATACCATGTAACTTCTGAGTGTGCTACACGTGAGTAGGTAGGACAAACCACCTGTAGGAAACACACCGTCTCCTCTCTGTATGCACCAGGCACTCTCATAAAAACACAAAATGTTACAAAGACTCAAAACGATCACAACAAATAAAATAAAACAATAAATAAATGAATAAAACAACAGAATAGAGTATACGCTTTTTAAAAATGATAATATATTACATTATGTAACTGCAGATTAGCCATGTATACGCGAGTTCACCGCACGTAAGTTTTTCTGATTTTGATTTTAATGCAATTTTGTAAAGGTGCTTTGCAACATCCAATATTGTAAAAAGTGCTGTACAAATACACTCGAACTGAATAGGAAACAGCCACACAGGAAACTGAATTCAGACCGGCAACAAACAGAAAAGACAGGCGATTCAAAAATCAGACAGGAAACTGACAGCAAATGGATACGATTCAGACACAAAACAGAAAGGAGAAAGATTGGAATAAGATGGAAAACAGATATTGGAACAGATGTGGACAGAGGGTTAGGAAACAGAAAGGGAATAGACGGGAATCAGATGGGAAACAATACACAGAAGAAAGAGGAAATTGATGGAATTGAGAGATGGACACAGACAGGAAAGAGAACAGAAACAGACAGGAAGCAGAAATAAGCGAGCAAAGAAACAGGAAACCAATGGGAAACATACAGAAACAGACAGAAATAGAAAAACAGGCAGGAAGCAGACAGTAGAATAATGAAAATTAGACAGGAAAGTGATAGAAAAGACACAGGAAAAAGAGAGGAATTAAACTAAAAGATATGGGAAAAGGCAGGAAACCAACTGGAAAATGATGGGATTCAGAGAGGAAAGAGATATGAAAGAGATGGAAATAGGACAAATAGGAAACAGAAAACAGGAGACAGAAAACAGAAAAATCTTGAAAACAGACTAGAGAGAAGTGGGGGAAAAGACATGAAGCAGACAGGAAAATGATGGGATAGAAATAGACAAAAATCTGAATGAGAAGAAATGAAAACAAGACAGGAAAAAAATAATATCAAAACAAGAGGAGATGAAATAAACCAAAAGGAAACGGACAGGAAAATATTTTGGAACCGATGTGGATACAGAAAAAAACTGATGGAACAGAAAGGAAATAGACGGGAATCAGATGCGAAACAATAAACAGAAGAAAGAGGAAACTGATGGAAGACAATGGAATTCAGACAGGAAAGAGATGAAAATCAGATGGGGAAACAGAACAGAAACAAACAGGAAGCAGAAATGAGAGCAAAGAAATGGGAAACTGATACAGAAACAGAAATGGGAAAAACTGTAAACAGACAGAAAATTATTAAAATTAAATGGGGGGGGGGGGCTACAGAAGAGAAACAGGAAACAGACATGAATCTGAACAAAAAGAAATGGGAAATACAGGAAACAGACAGGAAACCAACAGGAAAATGATTGGATTCAGAGAGTAAAATAACAGATAGGAAACCGATGGAAAGATGGAATTCATGGGAAACTGATGCAAATTGGGAAGAGAATTAAGACAGGAAACAGAGAAAATCATGAAAACTGACTAGAGATAATTGGGAAACAAACAGACAGGAAATAGAAAGGAAAGAAAAGGAAGAGAGACAGAGAGGGGGGAGACAGGAAACCCACAGGAAAATGACCAGACTCAGAAAGGATTAAGAAAGGAAACAGTAGAAGAAAAGAAATCAGAATGAGGAGAAATGAAAACGCAACAGGAAAATATGAAAAATCAAAATGAGGAGATGGAATAAAGACAGGAAACAGACAGGAAATAGGCAGGATCCAGAGAGGAAGGAAATAGGAAAGAGATGGGAATCCAAAGAAATCTGGTGGAAAACACACAACACAGACAGAAAACAGAAAAAAAAAATCTTGACTAGAGAGAAGTGGGAAGCAGAAACAGACAGGAAATAAACGGAAAAGAAAAGAAAGAGAGACAGGAAACAGAAAACAGACAAAAATCTGAACAAAAAGATGATCAGACTCTGAAAGGAAACAAAGGAATAAGAATGAAAACAGTGGAAGGAACAAAGACATGAATCAGAATGAGAAGAAATGAAAACAAGATGAAGAAAATAAATAGAGATCAAAACAAGAGGAGATGGAATAAATACAGGACACAGACAGGAAACCAACAGCAGAGAGGAAGAAACTGATGGGAAAGACACTGGCATCAGGAGGGAATCTGAGTCAGAACTGATCTGGGAACAGTACCTGCTAGTGTTCAGGTGCTGAGTAGAGACTGACTCTTCCTCCTTTGCCACTAACGGGCTTCTCAACAGACTGAAAGACAGAAAGATGTGCTTTCCTTCATCCCACAGCTGGAGAAATGGAGGATGGAGAGTTGTTACAGATGGAAAAATGAAATGACCGGAGAGCAGCTGAAAGCTCTAAAGCATCTGCTAGTACACACACAGAAACATCCTAAAACCAACACCAACAGAGCAAACGCAAACATATAAAGCCTCTCTGAGTGAAAATGCATGTGACGGATGGGTAAACGGATAGTAAAAACAGAGTAACTCACTGTGAGGCGTCTGTAACCACAGGCAGAGGAATGTCCTCAGTGGTGAAGTCCAGCTCATCCACCAGACTGTTGTTTCGAGAGATGTCCGGCCCGTCCAGCTTTTTCTTCACTGTAGAGAAGATTACAGCATCTTCATTGAACTGCAAACTCACATACGGTAACAGGGATTATAACAGAAAACATTTTCCTACAACTTACTCACCCTGAGGCATCATAGATGTTAGATGAATGTCTGCTTTCAGTCAAATCCGTGGGTATTCAATGCTAATTACCAACGATGCTTTGAATACTTAATGCTGTTTACTACTGATGCTTCGTTTATTCAATGCTGTTTACTACCGATGCTTCGAATATTCAATGCTGTTTACTACTGATGCTTCGTTTATTCAATGCTGTTTACTACTGATGCTTCGTTTATTCAATGCTGTTTACTACCGATGCTTCGTTTATTCAATGCTGTTTACTACCAATGCTTCGTTTATTCAATGCTGTTTACTACCGATGCTTCGTTTATTCAATGCTGTTTACTACCGATGCTTCGTTTATTCAATGCTGTTTACTACTGATGCTTCGTTTATTCAATGCTGATTACTATCGATGCTTTGTTTATGCAATGCTGTTTACTACCAATGCTTCGAATATTCAATGCTGATTACTACTGATGCTTCAGCTATTCAATGCTGAATATTACTGATGCTGAAGCTATTCAAAGCTGATTACTACTGATGTTTTGGTTATTCAATGCTGATTACTACCGATGCTTCTGGTATTCATTGCTGATTACTAACGTTGCTTCGTTTATTCAATGCTGATTACTACCGAAGCTTCGATATTCAATGCTGATTACTACTGATGCTTCGGTTATTCAATGCTGATTACTACCAATGCTTCGGGTATTCAATGCTGATTACTATTGATTCTTCAGCTATTCAATGCTGATAACTACCGATGCTTCGGGTATTCAATGCTGATTGCTACCCATGCTTCGGTTATTCAATGCGGATTATTACCGATGCTTCTGTTATTCAATGCTGATTATGTTATGATTATGTTAATGTTATGGATACTAATTGCTGATTACTACCAAAACTTTGAATATTCAATGCTGATTACTATCGATGCTTCAAATATTCAATGCTGATTACTACTGATGCTTTGGTTATTCAATGCTGAATACTACCGTTGCTTCGAATATTCAATGCTGATTACTACCGATGCTTCGAATATTCAATGCTGATTACTACCGATGTTTCGGGTATTCAATGCTGATTACTACCGATGCTTTGGATATTCAAAGCTGATTACTACCAAAACTTTGAATATTAATTTCTGATTACTACCGACACTTCAGATATTCAATGCTAATTACTACAGAAACTTGGGATATTCAATGCTGACTACAACCGACACTTCAGATATTCAATGCTGATTCTAATGCTTCGAATATTCAATGTTGATTATCATTGAAGCTTTAAATATTCAATGCTGATTACTACAGATGCTTTGAATATTCAATGCTGATTACTGACAATGCTTCAAATATTTGATGCTTGTTACAACCAATGCTTCGAATATTCAATACTGATTACTAACATTGTTCCAAATATTCAATGCTGATTACTAACGATGCTTCAAATATTTAATGTTGATTACTACCAATGCTTCGGATATCCAATATTATTTACTATCGATGCTTCAAATATTCAATGTTTATTACTACCAATGCTTTAAATATTAAATGTTAATTACTACCAATGTTTTGAATATTTGATGCTGATTACCAACAATGATTCAAATATTCAACATTGTTTACTACCAAAGCTTCAAATATTTGCCATTAATTACTACAGAAGCTCAGAACAATCAGTGTTGATTATACCTGAAGCTTCGAATATCCAATTCTGATTGCTACTGATCCTTTGAATATTCGATGGTGATCACCACTGAAGCTTTGAATATTCGGTGTTGATTACAGCTGAAGCTTTGAATATTCGGTGTTGATTACAGCTGAAGCTTTGAATATTCGAAGCATTGGTAGTAATAAGCACCAAATTTCTGAAGCATTGGTAGTAATCAGGTTCGAATATTCAGTTTCGATTACTACCAATGCTGCAAATATTCAATGTTGATTACTTAAATCAATGCTTTGGATATTCTATGTTGAGCACTAGCTAGAAAAAGCCAAGAATAATTTTCAAAATAACTGATTGGATTCGGCTGAAAGCAGAAAGTCATAAAGGTAAGTAAATCATGGGATAATTCTCATATTTGGGTGAACTGACCCTTTTAGGCATTAAAGAAAGAAAACAGCTGCACAACCGCATAAAATAAAGCATGGATTTTGCAGAAAGAGAATCTGTGAGCAGAAAGAGACAATACCTGGAGAAGAAGGACAGCTGAGAGTGAAAGCGGACCATGATCGCTGACGGTCTGTCCACATGCAGAAAAAAGAAGAAGCGCAAACTAACTTCATGATGAGCATGAGAAAAACAAGACAAAAAAAAAAAGAAAAAGAGCAGCAGAAAAAGCAGGACAACACTGCAGATCAGATGGGTTCGTAAGTTAATTTCACTGATTTAACAAATGAAATTGTGAATTTTAAAAAACTAAAAATATATAAACGTGGAATAAATATATATTAGCACTAAATATGAAAACTCACATTAAATGAAGTTATTTAACATAAATATTACGCTAAATAAGTGTTAACTGAATAGAGAAATATTTATTATTACATAAAACATTTTAGAAATATATTTAAATTTCAACATTTCTCTTCTCCATTTTATGTTTAATAAAAAAAACTAAATACATTAAAATATAATTGTGGAATAAATATATATTAGAACTAAATTTATATATTTTTAAATTACATTAAATAAAATTATTTTTAAAATATATTATGTAAAATAATGTATCCAATTAATATCTGGAATATATATATATACTACCTGACAGACATCTTGTTGCCTATCCAAGCTTTAGGAAAAGCAAATAATAACTTGACTTCTAATTGATAATTTGGAAGTGTCTTTTATGAAAGGCAAAGGCCTCTAGATGACGCTTTATTTGACCGCAATAAAATATGATCATGGCTTGATTTTGAATTATTTCATTAGGACAGTAAGGTCTGATTTTGCTCAGACTAAAGTCACTGAACAGAAATAATGTCCAGTATAGAATATAAAGTCCTGCTGCAGTGGAGACAGAATGAATATTGTGTCTGACTCCATCATGAGCTTGGAGGACTGCATCCATACATCTCTGCACTGACTCACATCACTGATTAATAAAGTCATCTGGAATGAAGAAGAAAGCGTTCCTGCAGGACTCCCAGAGTTCATCAAGACTCTTTGTGTTCATCTTCAATGCTGTCTCCTCCATCTTACCCCAAACATACTCAATATAGTTCATCTCTGGTGACTGGGCTGGCCAATCCTGCAGCAGCTTGACCTTCTTTGCTTTCAGGAGCTTTGATGTGGAGGCTGAAGTATGAGAAGGAGCGCTATCCTGCTGGAGAATCGTCCCTCTCCTGTGGTTTGTAATGTAATGGGCAGCACAAATGTCTTAATACCTCAGGATGTTGATGTTGCAGATCTCTAGCACACCCTATGCTGAATGTAACCCCAAACCATTAATTTCTTCACCAGACTTGACTGCTTTCTATGAGAATCTTGGCTCCATGCTGGTTCCAGTAGGTCTTCTGCAGTATAGGTGATGATTTGGATGCAGATCAACAGATGATTCATGGGAAAAATCCACCTTCTGCCACTTTTCCAAATGATCAACTAGAAGTCAAGTTATTATTTGTTGCTCTTACAACTGAGATTAAGACAAGACTTTTGTTAGGTAGTGTATGGGTAAATTTTAACATTTCTTTTTTCCATTTAGTTTTAGCTGATTTACTAACGTACAAAATTAAACACTACTAAATTATAAAAAGTGAATCGAGAACAAACAAAAATAAAAAAAAATTGTAAAAATATATTGTATAAACATGAAATGTAAATCTCACAGCATCCAGTCAACCTTAAATTGATAAGTAACTTCATTTTCCATGTTCATATTTAATCAGTAGCTAACAGGAAATCCTAAATTATCATTCCTAGAGTGAACAATTGAAAAATGAACACTAATGACATCACAATGTGATTATAAATTCTAAAGTTTTAACAGATTAATCACTTAGAAAAGTGCAAACAAGTTTTGATTTTACTTGTGAAGTTTACTAGCAATTGCTTAAGTACCAAGTCATAATAATGTATGTTTCACTTTAATTTGAATTTGATATTAAAAATGTATTAAATATTGAATTATTTGAACCCAAATTTTAATCGGAATCATTTTCTGCTTAAACTTATATTATGTACACAAAGTGACACGTTTTTATTTCTACTTTTGTGACTAATTTCTGCCATTTCTATCCCTCATAAGCGTCCTATTGGCGCACAGCACAACATGCAGATGCAGAAATAAAGCAGAAGCACACACACACACAAGACACACACACACACAAACACACACACGCGCGCACGCACGCACACTCTCTCTCTCTCTCTCTCTCACCTGAAGAGCGGAAAAGTTTTGCAATTCCTGCATAGAGAAAAACACGAACCGCTCAAACTTACTCAGACATTTTATCAGACTTTTTAAAATCCAGTAATTCTTTATGGATAAAAAACTAAATAAACACTCTCGTCCTGGTAAATTTGTGTTGTTTTATATCCATTTAGACTGCGAAATTTGGTTTATTATTAATTGCAAATGCCACTTAATTTTTTTTTCTCGTTTTGCATTGCACATCATGAAAATGACAACAATTTTGCCCAAATACCTCATTTAAATGTTATTATTTAATTTTAAAACAGTTTTAGACATTTAGTTTTTGGTCATTAGTTTTATTGGTCATTAATTTAGGCATATATAGCATAACATTTAAGTTAGTATGAGTATATTAAACACGTCCTGGTAAATTTGAGTTTTTACACTGTGAAATGTGTTTATTTATTAATTGCAAATGCCTTTTTTTTTCCTTGTTTTGCATTGCACATGATGAAAATGACTATAATTTTACCCAAATACCTCACTTGATTTGTTATTTTATTTAAATTAAAAATGATTTTGGTAATTTAGTTGTTGGTCATTTGTTTTATTAGTCATTATTTAGGCATATACAGCATAAAATTGAAGTCAGAATGAAAATATTAAACACATCCTGATAAATTTGTGCTTTTATATATCCATTCACACTGTGAAATGGGTTTAATTATTATTCACAAATGCCACAATGTTTCTTCTTCCATGCTTTGCATTGCACATCATGAAAATGAGTATAATTTTGACCAAATACATCATTTTAATTTGATTATTTAATTAAAAAGTTACACATTTTTATTAGTTATTAATTTAGAATCACAGCATATACAGTGTTAAAAAAATTATATGATCAATAAGTCAGGAAAAAATATGTTTTAGTTAATTGCAACTTATTAAACTAAGTTAATCATGTTCCTACTTAATTATATGAGCCATGCAAGCTGTTTTAAGTCAGTTTAATATAATATGACTTCAAATGACTCAGAAGGTTAATTTAATTCAGCTTCAAAATTGAAGGCAACCAGGATTTTTTAGTTTACAAACACAATTGAAGTCAAAATTATTATACTCCTGCGAAATTAATACTTTTACAAAGCCTTATTTAAAAGAAAGAAGATTTTTTCTACATTTTTCTCAAAAACAGCTTTAATAACTCATTTCAAAATTGAAATTAAATGAATGTTGCATTGGTACCAAAATGAATACATCTGAAATAAAACTAAATCAAGAATGACAAAAGCACAGAGCAAAATTACAAGCTGAAACTAAAATTAAACGGAAGTATTATTATGAAAACTTAAATATTATAAAATATTTTGAAAATGTGCAGTCTAAAATCATGTGCAGTGTAAAAATGCTGCTACATTACTTAAGTTCTACACTTTTAAAAACGACAAAAACATTACAGGAATATTTTGAGCTTATAAAACACACTCTTATAAACTGAGCATCTGTGTGTGTACATGTGGAAAATCTCATCTATTCTAAGTGGAAAATGGTTTGATCTCTCCTTCCTCTTTATGGTTGAGAAAAGCCTTTATGAGGATTAACAGACGAGTCATAAACACAGAAAAACTCTTTATGTTCTTCTCTGCTTGATGAACCTCAGCCGACGCTCCAGAAAACACACGTGACGATGTTAACAAGCAGAGCAGAAAGAAGCTCTTCTTATTAATAGTGCATCAGTACTGGCTGTTTATTTACATGTGTTCGTTTATACAAGCAAACTAATACTTTTTATTATCTTTTTTTATATTTATTTTTTAAAGAGGACTTTCACAACTTTCACAATTGGAATAAAAAAAGAATAAAAAAAATACAATTAAATATGATATACCAATATATGCATATATGTATGTATGTATGTATGTATGTATGTATGTATGTATGTATGTATGTATGTATGTATGTATGTATTTATTTATTTATTTATTTATTATTATTTTTTTTATTTATTTATTTATTGTTGTTTTAATTATCATTATTATACAATGATATAATAATAATAATAATAATAATATTACAATTAAAATATAATAACAATAATAATCAATAATAAATATTTTACAATTATATACAATTAAATTCTGAAATAAATTGAATAAATACATGTATTTAAATTTAAATATAATGAAAATGTAATTAATAAACTTCAATAGAAAGTTTAACAAAATAAAATTATTATTATTATTATTATTATTATTATTATTATTATTTTAATTATCATTATATAATAATAATATTAATAATAATAATAATAATAATAATAATAATAATCAATAATAAATATTTTTCTATTATATACAATTAAATTCTGAGATAAATTGAATAAATACATGTATTTAAATTTAAATATAATGGAATTTTAATTAATAAACTTCAATAGAAAGTTTAACAAAAAAAATATTATTATTATTATTTAATTATTATTATATGCAGCTAACAAATAAAAAATTGATGTTAAAATATTCCTAAATGCAAACCTTAAAAAAATTTAACAAAACTGAATATAAATCAATCACAGCAACCTAAACTGAAGTGAACATAAAAATATAAACTAATGCAAATATATTAAATATAATCTTTAAATAATACAAAAAGAATCATTCTTAATCCATTTTATTTAAAAACAATAATCAAAATTAGTACAGGGCAAGAATCAATCACCATAAATTGCATCCAAAATAAAAGTTTGTTTTGACATAATATGTGTGTGTTTGATGTGTATTTTTATTATGTATATATAAGTACACACATGCATGCATATACAGTATTTGGGAAAATGTTTAGATATAAAATATGTGTCTATATTTTATATATTGTATATATAAATTTAAATATTTTATGTAACAATATTATTTTGTATAGTTTTGTTTCTATGTATTTGTGTGTGTCATATATACAGCATATACAAGTCAGAATTATTAGCCCCCTTTGAAACTTCTTTCGTTTTAAAATATTTCCTAAATTATGTTGAACAGAGCAAAGAAATTTTTACAGTATGTCTGATAATATTTTTTCTACTGGAGAAAGTCTTATTTGTTTTATTTCAGCTAAAATAAAAGCAGTTTTTAATTTTTTTAAAAACATTTTAGGGTCAAAATTATTAGCCCCTTTAAGCTCTATTATTTTTCAAGTCAACAGAACAAACCATCGTTATACAATAACTTGCCTAATTCCCCTAACCTGCCAAGTTAACCCAATTAACCAAGTTAAGGCTTTAAATGTCACTTTAAGCTGTATAGAAGTGTCTTGAAGAATATCTAGTCTAATATTATTTACTGTCATCATGTCAAAGATAAAAAAATCTGTTTTTAGAGATGAATTATTAAAACTATTATGTTCAGAAATGTGTTAAATCTTATAATTTAATTTACAATTATGAATTTTTTTTAAATATTTATATATATAATTATAATAAACACACATATAATATCATATATTATGTCAAAACAAACTTTTATTTTGGATGCATCTAAATTGGGATCAATCTTTGCCAAGCAATCATAAAAAAAAAAAACTATAGTAATTATGAAGAATATTACTTTCAGGATCAATTAAGGTTAAAGTATTCATTCATGTTTTTTCATTAGTTTTTATTTCTATATATACTTCAGTTTAGGTTGCAGTAATTCTTCATTTCAAATAAATCATCCTAAAAGCTGAAAGCTGGCAACAGAACGATAGAATAAGTGATCAGTGAATAAGCGCACCTGTAGAGTCGTCTGTAAACACAGCGTCTTTATCCTCGATGTGGTCGTAGGTGATCTGCGGGATGGACAGAGCCCGTTCTCCAGCAGGACCCAGGGAGCCGTTGTCGCGCAGGGATTTGGGTTTGCGTTTGTAGCGTTTACTCTGAGGGGAGACAGCATTTTTACATTTTAATTTCAGCAACATTAAAAGACTTTCTCTGGAAGAAATAATGTCCTCGCTATGTTAAACAGCATTTGGGAATTATTTGAAACAAAAAAGAGAATAAGGAGAATAATTTTGTTCCAGCTGTAAACTAGTTGTATGATTCTTCCTTTATATAAACGGAAACATTGAAAATGATCTTCAAAACATCAGAAAGTTGTTGTTAAAAATTCAATTACCAACTAAACTCAAATGAACAAGGCTGAACATAATTATATAAATAAAAAATTAAAAAAATCACAGAAACACAATTCTTAATACTCAACAACTAAAACTAAAGGCTATAAGTCATCGTGAATAAACACTACAGTACAATAACATAGAAATATTACCACAAAAACAAAAATCTACTGATGCATTTACCCTGAAACTAATAATAAAAGCAACTTGTTTTCACTGCCTCAAGTAATGAAAAGCAATGAAAAATAG